TCCTGGTAAGTTTGAGGCAAAGTAGGTTGATAAAACAAAAGGCCTGCTTGTGTCATGAAAGCCGCGACGTTGAAACCAATTGTTGGGATCGTGGTGACTACCTCACCCAACTTCAGCTTGTACAGGATGGTGGTCTTACCTGCAGCATCCAGCCCGACCATCAGGATGCGCATTTCCGTCTTGCCGATCAGCCGCTGCCATATCTTTGTGAAAGCAAGACCCATGGCTTCGTGCGCAAGTTGACTATTTCACCTCAATCTGTCTCGTACGGCAACGGAAAAATGCACATTTCAGCATCATTCGCATCGCTCTCAAGCCAAGCTAATGCCACCGCGCTGGGCATAGAGTTTAGTGTCACAAGGACTCATCTCTGTCAAACCCACTGCGCACACATTCTTTTGAGGTCAAGCGTGTTGGCCTCCAACCAAACCATTGGCAGGCAAAGCATGCATTTAGGAGCACATCACTCTACTGTACATTAGGATACGACCCCGCAAAACTGGACAATCCCGCGTGGGATGCATCCACTACATAAGGACACACCCCTGTCCATCTCAGCGTCAACTCAGCGCTTAGGCCGCTTGGAAGGAATCGTGCGCCACAACCAGCCCAGACCCTCGTACAAACCGTCACCTGTGGTCGCGCAAGATGGCTGAATAAACCAGTGGCGGTGCCGCAATTGGTGAAGCCCAAGCTTGTCCGCCATCTCAGCTGCAGTCATCGCATGTGGCAGGTCCTGCGACACAGAACGCGTATGCGGGGTAAGAAAACGTTGTGGAGGAATTTGCGCATGAGTACTCACGAAGGCCCCGGGATCGCTATGGCATAATTTGAGTGGGGCATGCCCCACATTTATTGGACCGCATAACATGGATCACGATTGCCTCAACCTGTCTGTCCAACAAAAACCCCCAAACTGTTCAACACTACAGACACTCAGCTCACATCATGTCGCTAGCATCCGTCCTGCTTGTTTGCAAAGACCAGCAGCACCGCGTCGCGCATCTCATCCTCATTCAGCATTTTGTTGAGTTCCCCTCGGGCGTCCTCAATCCGATCCCGGTCGTTGCTGTCGACAACAAAGATGAGACCATTGGTGCCCTGATAGTAGTTGCGCCACAAGGGGCGGATCTTGTCCTCGCCATATCATAATGTCGGGTATGTATTTTTTTGACGTGCCCGCGCCGGGAAGTTGGTATAGGGGGTATGAATCGCAGGTATGGCGCGGGCTATGACTCGAGGGTATGGTTCGGGGTATGGCTCGCACGACTCTGAATTCTTGTTTTGCGGCCTTGGGCGGTGCGATTCTCGGTTACTTACGCTGCCGAGCAAATAGCTGCAAGAAACCGAGCCGCTCAGTTGCCACAGCTAGCCTCTGACCTAGAGCTACAACCCATTCTTTAGCATTTGTTTCTTGCGTTCTCCGGACCTTCCATGGAGCCCCTGCCAAGGCCGGAGAACTATCAGCACGCCTTCTAATTGGGGTCTTATGTCTCTTCTTGTGCAGAGCGAAACAACTCACTCTAGAAGGCTTACAAGGGTTCGAACTCTTCCTTCAGGCCGCTGCAAACCTTCCGGACCGATCCTCTCTCCGAAAAGAGGCGGCGCCGTTCTGCAGCCCTCCCCTTTGTTTGCCTAGCTTCTGAAGATCTGGTCCCTGTAGCTTCACGATTGCGCCCACACCGCAAGAGCTCTTGGTTGCAGATGGCTGCGAAAGGGTATGACTCGAGTATGAATCGGGCATGAATTGGGGGTACGAATCGGGGCTGACGGAAAGACGCAAAGCGAGCATGGCTAAGAAAGCTTGCAATCATGCGCGGCTGCTGCAAGCGGCAGCGCCCTATCACTTGGAGCAGGCCCGCGCCATGTGAAGCTATGAAGCAGAGCGTTTCAACCCGCGCAAAGTTAGCAAAGGTTTGGTTAGTGGTCAAACTCTCAACCGCGTAGCAGGAGGGGCGAGACGTCCGTCACAGTTTTCAAGCCTTCTTGGTCGGTTTTGCGATGCAACTAGGGCCTGTCCTGCGGGTAACGCAATAAACTGTTTGTTCTACTCTAACTGGTGTTTAGGGTAAGAGCTACAGGTTAGCTCACAGTTCGTCACGCGCCAGCTGACATTTGTATGGGCTGGCTTATTGCAACATTTCAAAAGCGCGCGGCCTCGCACGAGCTGCTTGCCTAATTTTGGCTGTTTATCCCAAGTGCGCTTTCGCTGCTGCGTCAAGGGGTGGACTTGCGCGCTCAGCTTTGGTATATGCACTGCCGATACTCTTAGCTAAGGCCTTCAAGTCAGCAGCTTGTGAACTCCTTTTTTGATTTTTTCGGGGGTATGAATTCGGGTATGACACGAGGGTATGGTTCGGGGTATGATTCGGGGGTATGACTCGCCCAGGTCCCACTTCCCGCGTAGACTCAAGAATGGGCACGGGAAAAAATACAGACCCATGTGCACTGCCATCCCGTGTTTGTATGTGAGAAAGGTTGGACCGGCTGGCCGGCAAAACTTCTGCAATTGAAACATGTTCAACTTTTGGTTCCAGAGGGCAGATAAAGTTGAATCAAGCTTCCGCGGAACAAGTCCAGTCAGGGTCCAACTTTTACGCTGGAGGGGTGAGGGGTCAAACAAGCTTATTAGGGGTCAAACAAATTGTTCTCTTAGATTTCCTACTGAAATGAGAACTCATATTTTTCAAAAAATGTCAGGGATCAAAAACACTTCTTCATTTCGTGGTACGCGCAGCACGTTCGCAAGGTTAAAGAAGTGATGATTCAGCAAAGGGTGCCTTGATGTCTGTAAACATTCTAAAAATCAGCGTGGGGGTTGGGGGGCGGGGGCAGCCCCCCCGTGATGTTCGAAGAAGTCATGGTTCAACAAAGGGTGCGTTAATCTCTGCAAACATTCTAAAAATCAGCGGGGGGATTCTTTTCGTCGTAGTTATTATTTTTTCGTCGTGGTTAGAACGCTTGGTTGGGGGGGTGCGGCAGCTCCCCCCATGTCACTATTCAACAAAGGGTGCATTAATCACTGTAAACATTTTACAAATCGGGGGGGATGATGATGGAAGAAGTGATGATTCAACAAAGGGTGCATCCGCCGATTCCCGAAATAGATGTTGAGAACCTCTCAAACTTTGTCAGATCTCCTTCCTTTACTTCCTCTCTTCTTTCCTTCCTTCCTTCCTTTCTTCCTGGAATTCCTTCCTTGCTTCCCTCCTTCCTTCCTTGCTTGATTCCTTTCTCCTTCCTTCCTTCCTTCCTTCCTTCCTTCCTTCCTTCCTTCCTTCCTTCCTTCCTTCCTTCCTTCTCCCCATGGGAATGAGAATAAGTTTTTTCTTGATAAGTTGTTTGATGCCTATCCCACGCTGGAGGGGGGGAAACTTCCAAGTCGCGCCTGACCGCCCACATCCCAGACAGTGAAGGACAAGTTGTTGCACTTCGCACTGTCCTTGGAAATGGCACACGGTCCGTCAAAAAAAATGCCAAACAGGCAATTATACAGTAGTCTTAGCGGCAACCTTTCTGATAAAAACAAAAAGCTGCTTGCGCCACGCAAGCCACGACGTAAAAATCAGTTGTTGGGATTGTGGTGGCTACCTCACCCAACTTCACCTTGTACAGGATGGTCGTCTTACCTGCATCATCCAGCCCAACCATCAGAATCCGCATCTCCTGCTTGCCGATCAGCCGCTGCCATATCTTTGTGACAGCAACACCCATGGCGTCGTGCGCAAATTCACCTCAATCTGTCTCGTACAGCCACGGAACACCATGACTTCTCAGTACCAGGACCTCTGCCCCTGCTTTACGCAAACCGTCCAACCCAAATCACCCAAACTTGGCCTCCATTAGTGTGGAAGTGTCGGCGTGTTCAACTTTAAGCGCTTAAGCGCCAAGAAACAGCGTGCTAACCACTGGAAACAAAGGGGCATCCATTTCTGCTTGGGTTCTGGCTTGGGGGTAGCAGAAAATCCTGGTAGGAAAAGAGAACCCCTTCTATGGACATTAGACGATCTACCGAGTAGAAGAACACAACAAGATGGGAACCGTGTGACATTGAACTGGGTACTTGTGCAAGTCGAAACCTCCAATGGCGCGCTTGGGCCATTTTTTGCCAAGTCTGAAGCCAGGAATTCAAATGCCATGGGGTGCCTCGCGCGTATTCACTGCTTTGATCCAAAGCGATCCTCCCGAGTGCTCAGCTGGTAAACGACGTCAGATGTCGGCTAGCCCCCAAAAATGGAAACCACACTTGTTGTATTCCACCAAAATTGTCTTGCAACAAAGTGACTAATTGAAGTCTATAAACTCGAGAAGCGAGTGCGTGAGAAGCTCATTCAAAACCCTTGAGGGACCATTCGGGGAAGCCATCCGGCCGACCTTCCGCAACCCTTTGCTTTTGTGGTAAGTCTCCGCGGGAAAACAAAAAAAAGAAGGAAAAGGACACCAGGCCATCACCCAGAAGGAAATATTAAGATCACTGTCCGACCCCAATCCTGGGATGATCTCTGCCATCCAAATCCAAAATTGCAAATGGCTGGTGGTCTCCATGGAAACTGCCACTGGAGGTTCCAAAAAGGAAAATGGAGGAAACCCTGCCAAATATTGGGCAGAAAGCCGCACATCCCCCACGAGAAAGGGAAGCACTGCTGTTCACTCGAAATTTGTTCAGAAGTCGACATGACTGAGCGACGAACGGATAGGCTCACTGCGCTTTGCCCAAAACCCTGCAGCCCATGCCAGGCAGTCAAAGCCAGGGTGACGTATGGCATAACTCTCAGGACAAGCGGGCTGAACCCAAATGGCTTGAAATTACAGGGGTAAATGACTTTCACGATTCTTGCTTTGTTGTGATGGTTGTGACTTTTGTTAAGGGCACCCCTTTTTGGTTCATGTTTTGAAGGGAAACCAAAAGGAAACCCACCAAACAAGGGGCCGCCCTGGAAAATTTGAGGAGCCGCCCATGGAGACGCCTGGCGTCAGCCGTGGGCCCTTCCGATCCCTGCCTCGGCCTCTTGCAAGCGACCGTTCAGCTCCCCCTCGGAGCGGATGAAGTCGGTGGCCTATGGCGATTGGAGTCCGGAGACTCCAAAGTTTGGGGTGTCTTGATTTGGGGTTCTTACCTTTTTCTGGCGGTTGTAAAGGGAAACGAGCTGGGGTTCTGACCTTTTTCTGGCGATTTTAAAGGGAAACGAGCTGGGGTTCTTACCGGGGTCTTACCTTTTTCTGGTGGTTTTAAAGGGAAACGAGCTGGGGTTCTTACTTAAAGGGAAACGAGCTGGGGGTCTCACCTTTTTTGGTGGTGTTAAAGGGAAACGAGTTGGGTTTCTTACCTTTTTCTGGCGGTTTTAAAGGGAACCGAGCTGGGGTTCTTACCACTTTTTTTGGTGGTTTCAAACAGAAACAAGCTGGTGATTGGTGTCTGGATTTGGGGATTTGGGGTTTCTTACTCTTAGCTGTCCTCAGAGATCCCCCCCTAAAAGTGAACAACTTTTAGTGGGTGAAATACGGAAATCCCGCACTAAACACTAAAAGGCTAAAAAGCTAAGGAACCGGATGGCTGGGAACCACCAAGTTGAGGTTCTTACCCTTTTTTGGTGGTGTTGAGGGGAAACAAGCTGGTGGTTGATTGAACCAGGTGGAGGGCCTTGAAGGAGGTGGTTCTTTAAACAACACTGCTTAAACAGGTTCTAACAAATGGGTGTGTCTTAGGGCACCCCTTCTCTTTGGTGGTTTAAAGAGGGAAACCTAAAGTAAAACCAGAACATCTATTTTGGGGGGGTCCCCTAAAAAGGACACAACCATGTGAACCACAAAAAAAGGGAACATCGAAAGCCTCAAAATTGGCGTATCCGGATTATCCGGGTGGGCTTTCTGCGCCCCTTGAAAGCACCCCCAAGCGTCCCATTCTTTCCAGGCATCCTTCTTTCTAAAAACCACCTTACAAGAGAATGGGGAATCATCCCCTCGACATTTGTCTCATCTAGCGCCAAACCTCAACAGGCAAAGGCGGAAGATCCACCGAAAGCTGGAACACCGTTTGCCAGAAGTGCGCAACGAAAACCCTCGTCGCAGGTATCTTCCAACACACGTGAACCAGCAATGCCGAAAACCTAAGCAAACGGAAAAGCACGTGTCTAGGAAAAATGGCGACAGAGAGTATCCTACGCTGATCCTGGACAAATCCAGGGATTGCCAACCCTGTCACCATTGCCTGTCCAGTTTGTTTGTTTTGTTTCCTCTCCGGTGTCACCGCCCTGACCCATTGGAAAGGGCCCCGAGTGGGCTGGATGATAATTTGCGGGGGGGCCATTCCCCGGAACCTCGCAAAGCCCCTTAAAACCTAAGGGTTGACGGCAAAGTCAGGCCAACTGACGCCTTGATTGGCAGGGTTGTTTATAGGGGCGGTTGGAAGGGTGTTTAATTGTTGCAAGGTCATCTCGTGGTTTCCTCCCTAGGCCGATTCCCGCCCGGCCGTACTGTCTTGCCACATGCGGCCGTCGCACATTTAGAAGTACCCTCCCTGCCACCAAGATGGCACCCACACGCAGGCCGAAATGGATCTTCCAGGTCCCACACATGCTATGTGGGTGGGAGGCATGCCCACACACCGCATCCTTAGATAAAATATCGCCCCAGCCCAGGCACATCCGGCGAGAAAAACAAAAAAACGCCTCCATGGTGACGATGACTGGGTGACCCTTGAACGTCTTCGCCAGTGCGCCTCAACGACTTGGAGCGGCCAAGCCGTTTTCGAAAGCAAATCAAAAAGCATGGGCAGGCCGGGCATCTGTGTCTGACATCGTCTCACTTCCTGAGTGTGGATGGGCCAACAAAAGTACCCAAACTTGTCGTTTACCATGAACAAATGGGCCCTCCCAATAAGTTTGAGTCCAGGAACTCCGGAACTCAGGCAGTGAGTATTTGAGCACATGTTGTTTCAACCATCTTATTGACTTTTGTTTGAAAGCCAAGACCCGGCTCAAACAACCAGCTTGCAGATCTTACGGTTCCACCTTCTCCACCCTCATGGCCTGACCCACTTAGTGTCTTTGAGGACGCCAAACTCGGAGTCAAACCGGGGAGGATACAGTTGACGCCAAGATATGCTCTTCCCTGAACGTTTTGTGTCACCCCACCAAAAGGAAACTCACGCAAAAAGGGCCCAGGTGACCCGACTCACACGATCAGAAAGGGGAACCACAAACATATAAAAACATGCAAACACGATCAGTAAGCCTTGCCAAAGCCATGTCGACCTTGGGTGTACTAAAGCTGGGTCAATCTTGAACCATCAAAAAAAGGAGAGATAAAAGGACTCCTGGGAAACTCGGATTCTTGGGTTTGACCCATCAAGTGGAGTCGCTGACACATGTCTGCCCCCCGATCCCCGCGCTGGATCACCCGACCCCGACCCCGACGACGAAGTTCCGCCTGCGGCTTCCAGCGGCGTCTTGTGGGAGATGACGAGCCTCAAAGACTCAAGAGCTCGCGCAAGCGGAGCTGAACGCAGCTAAATCAACCTCAAGGTAATGGGAATCTCAATGAATCTCAATGAGTCCCTTGGTCTCAAAAAATCGTCGAAAGGTTGGTGGAGTTGACTATGAACACTTGCCAACAAACGGCTTGGAGCTTGCCAACGCAACAAGTGAGAAATCAGGCACGTCCTGTTTGCTGAAGTAGGAGCCACGGTCAGCGAGACAGTCTAAGCTCGCTAAGGTTCTTGTATTTTTAGTAGGGGGTTCCATCTTGGGGGAGTGGCAGGCCAGTGGGGAGGAATGATTAAGTCAAACATAGTCGCAATTTACTCCAATTCACAAGCGGGAAAATAGGGATCGCCAAGTAGAAGGACCTGCATGATTAAGCTCCGTTTACGAGCTGAGCTTCCTGCAAATTGTCCAAAGCAAGAATATGAGCCTTCCCCCTTTAAACCAACAAAAACGCGGCTGGCGCTCCCGGCGGAGGCGGGGCTTGGCCCTGGCAGGGCTCCGGCTCCACACAGCTCTCCATGCCTTGGAGACATCGGAGCTTCTTCTTTTTGAATTCCTTCGATAGGTCCTCTAGTTTGAGGGGTACCAACTGGTTTTTCTGTAGTCTATTTTCGTAGAACCCTCTTTTGGTTGTTGGGAGGAGGCATGAGCTTTCGATTCTAGGTCCTCCAGAGAGGCTAGAATAAGGGTACTAGGTTAGTGGGGGAACCCTCCCCCCAAAAAAGGGGGTAACAGGGCACCACTGGGCGACCTGGGATTGGGTGGCGGCATGAGGGAGGCAATAGACATGGCGGCGCTCAACATGGAGGTGCCATGCGTTTTTTGCTTGTTTTTTCAATCAAGCTCATGAAAAGGAGCCGAGGGAGGAAACTCGAAAACAACAACAGACACAACAAGAACAACAAACCACCACCAACAAAGCAAAACGGACAGACGGTGGCTCCTCCGCAAATCATCTTTGTTGGGTGGAGGCATGCGGGTGGAGGCATGAGGGTGGAGGTATTAAAATGGCGGCACTGGAAACGAGGCCGGCTGGTGAACTCTTATGATTCGCCGAGAGATGCTCATGCTGTCGGTTGTCGTAAGGCGCCCAGACCTCTGAGAAGCAAGCAGCAACCTTGGGGTCTTAGCAACCTTGGGGTCTTGATGCCCTCTTCTTGCAAGAGCTGAGGCAACTGTGTACGGGCAACCGCTTGATGTTCCATTCGCTGGCACTGTTGTGGCAGGTTGTCCTGATGGGAGGGGCAGGTGTGATGGGAGGGGGAGGCGTGATGGTACACCCTAGCGTGCCACGTGATGCGGAAGAAGCCTCCAAAGCCTCCATCTGGCAGACTTCCTTGCTGCGGATGTTGTATGGCTTGGGCGTCTTTGGAACAGCGCATCTTGAACAGTGGCGGCTAGGAAATGGCAAAGTGAAACCCAGCACTTTGCTGCTTGGACGGATCACGCGACAAATTGCTGATAGTTGCTGGCGGGATTGTGAGATACCGGGACTTCAGAGACCTACAGCTCATGCGTTAGGCCTTGACAAAGGTGGACCCAAAACCGCTGCGGCCAAGGAGTACCCAGGCGCCCTGAGCAGGGCTCTTGCTATGGTGATCAGGCTGAAAACTAGATGGGACCATGGGATTCAGGGTGCCCCTCTTACCCCCGGGGGCGTGATGCTTCCCGATTTTCAGGGAGGACCCTCAATGAATTTGTTTTGCATGAGGCGACGCGGACCGCTGAACGCCAGAGAGAGGGAGAGAGAGAGAGAGAGAGAGATTCGCCGAGACAGCATTCTGAGGGCCCCTAAAACATCACTCAGGGGCTTCAAAAGATTTATTGTTTGGCGTGGTTTGGAGGTGTCCCGGGCTGGCCTGCCATTTACCCACAAGATTCAGGGGTAACCCCGAGTTCCCACCAATCCAAACCACCAATCAAGGGGGAGAACCAGATCTATGAAAAATAACACCGTCTGGGCTCCTAAAAAGGAGCAAGCCCGGGGGTTTGATAGCCCGGAGGTTTGATGGGAGATGCAGGCACTGTGTGCCAGCCAGTTCACCCTGCGGGGTAGTGGAAACCATCATATTGGGCGGATGACCAGCCCCCCAACCCCACGCCCAAAACCGGCGTTGGGGTAGCTGCTGACCCAGCACACGTTGGGCTTCTGTGGCAGCCGCACCTCGGCCGGGCTGGTCGAAGCTGGAGCCAAAGATTCCCAGCGACCCGGGACCCAAGCAGCTGGAAGATGAGCCTTAGCCGCATGGGTTGAACCCCTCTGTACTCCGTATGTTCGGTTTACCCCAGGCGTTTGTTGTTGAAACTAGCTAGGCTGCCTTAACGGGCCGAAATCATTTTTGGAGGGGATCCAATGTTGGAATTCCAAAAAAGCTTATTGGGAAGGTCAATCCCGTTTTTCCTTAAATGTAGCCCCAAACCGCGAAATTGGCATGTGTTGGGCCTGTTTCCAACAGTGTGGCCTTGGGTGGTTGGAAGGCTGGTCGGAGATGGTCGGAAGGTGGTCGGAAGTTGGTCGGAGGGTCGGAGGGTGGTCGGGATGTGGTCGGGAGGTGGTCGGAGGTGGTCGCGGAAGGTGGTCGGCGGTGGTCGGAAATTGGTCGGAAATTGGTTGGCGGTGGTCGCTTGGAGGTTGCAGCCTGGTTCTAAAGTCGTGGTGCTGTTCGAGCTTGCGGTAGCCTAACGCGTTTCCTTTTGGATCATGCAGTGCAATTCCCCACGTCATTTGCTTTTTAAGCGCCGTTTATACCTTATCTGATCAGCAGGCCGCCTGGATAAGCCGTTTGGAAATCCAACAGGATCCAACATGACATTCAGTCTTTTTAGCCTTGTTTAGGAATTATCAAATCCCTCTATACTCCGTATGTTTAGTTTACCCCAGACGTTTGAACGTGTCAAAAACATTTTTGAGGCCATGCAAGGACAGACTTTGCAAACCCTGAATCTGCCCTGTGCAGCAGCGAACGCCCTGCCTGCGCCCTCTTGTCTGTGGGCAGGCAATAGCACCCCTCCTGCGCACAGCTCTCCGCGGGCAAAGCTTGCCTGTTCAAACGCCATGAATTTCCAGGGGTACCTTCCCCATTCTTTCTAGGGATCCTTCTTTCTAGAAAGCCTCAAGAATCCCAGGGAAACCGGCTGGTTGTTGAAAAGAACTAAAAGAATGGGGAATCAACCCCTAGAGAATTCATCTGCAAACTCTGCGCTGGTTTCCACATGTTGAAGGGCTTTGGGAATTTGAAGGTTTAAAGTGCGTGTTGAAAGGCCGGGGTCTACTTGTCAAAAGCCAATGTGTGGACCCTCCTGCTACCCAGGCAGCCTGATTCCACTGAGGGGACGCCTGCGAAGGGGAGAATCACCGGGACTGGTGGAGACAAAATGTTGCAACCGGCGTCGCTTCGGCACTCACCTGACCAAGGCGAACCTTTGGCGACCTTTACTAAAAATTGGACCGAAAGAGAAAACCCACAGGTTATAAGGTCGGATTTGAACAACTGAGGTATAAATCCGCCCACTGCAAAAAGCCTCACTTAGGTTTGGAGAGGCACACAATAATCAAAACCAACCGTGCGCAAACCTTGCACCGACGGACATGGACCGACTTGACCAGGGCAGCGGGTTGCTCAAAGCACCTTTGAACAAAACTAGAAAGTTAACCACCGGAAGCCAGTCCATTAGACAGGTTAGAATACGGGTACCCTTTGTTCTGTAGTCTATCTTAGTCGGGGAACCCTCCCCAAAAAACGGTACAAGGGCACCGGGGGACCTAGTCTGAGCCAAAAGAGCATCAAGTCTACGAGCTCGGGTGAGCAGTCACTCAAACCTGGGGAACCCTGCACAGGAGGCTTTCGCAGACTGATTGCAAGAAAGCAAGCCGAGCGCAGAAAAGTGAAATCATGGCTGGAATGCATTTGCGTGGGGTCTCGGAGAGGGGGGAGAAAAGAAGAAGACAAAAAAAAAACGGCCCTCCCACACAATGGCTATGTCCCCTTTGAGCATCCCCAAAGTGAGGGCCGCAGGGTGTGGCTAGCCCTGTATTTAAACATGTTTAAACACTACAGGGAAAAAACTCATTTTGATGTGGTTCTTTAACACAAAATCTCCAAAGAAAACTCACCTTACACTGATGGGGTCCGTGTTAAACAGGCAACCCCAAAAAAGTACCCAAACTTTGTGTACGCCACTAAGATGCTCCAAGCCAAACAATGACTAAGTAAAGCGCATGAACCCAGGAAGTAAAAACATCGAGGCTGCTTGTTTTGTGTGGCTTCAAAAAGGGGAACCCATCTTGGGGAATCCCCTCAAATCAAGACACCCTCATTTTGAACCAGCTTCCAGCGGTTAAGGGCTGTGTTTTATTTATCTACAAGCAGGAGGGCTTCAAATCCCCTCCCCCCAATCCAAGCCTTGGAGGTGACCTGACGCCTTCAGCATGCCGATGCTCACTCCAAACTCGCTTGCTTTCTGCTCCCCTGCTAAAAGTGACTAACTTTTAGTGGTTGTTTTTCATGGAAAACCCATGAGTGGGCAAAAAGTTGTTCAGTCCTAACATCGCTTGGCAAACTGCACCAAAGTAATGTTGACCCCACATTAAACAACAAAAAACACATTTTATTGATAGGGGAGTGTCACTTTTGGAGGGGCCACCCACCCCCCAGTCCTAACACAGGGCGAGGGGCAAGGACCCTTTGGAGCCGCAAAAAAAAGTCCTAACATCCCTTGGCAAAATACACCAAAGATCCCTTTCGATCCGAAAATCCGCGCCTTCAGCGCCTCCTCAGAGCTCTTCTGCACCGCCTCCCGGAGCTGTGGCAGCGCCAGCCACCGGCCCTGGCGACGCAGGCAACGCCGACGCGGGCTTCGCGGGCGAGCGGACGACCGAGCCAAAATAAAGGGAAACCATCATTTACAAGGCAATGTTCAGGTGTATAATGTAAGGATCCCTGCTAAACTGGGCTGTGCTCAGATTTTTCCGAGAACCCAAACCCTGGCACCATTCCAAGCGCAGGATCCCGCAGCTCGGTCGTGGAAAAAACAACATGTTTCAAATGGTTGCAACATGAATTTCTTTTAAGGAGCCCAGCTTAGACAGTTAAGAAGGTGACCCCCAGTTGGCTTGGATTCCCGAGCCTCCCACCGGATTTGGTCCCAGCAGTCCAGGAATTCGCGGAGTGAGACAGCTTCACCCCGGATCCAAGTAGAACCCCTCCTGATTTTTCCTGTGGGTTGGTCTATGCAAAAGTTGTCTGAATCCCCACTAAGCCCAACAACAACACATCGCTATTCATAAACGGCGTTGGTTGATCTGGGGCCAACATTACAACTCCAAAAGAATGTGATGCTCAAGTCACACACAAAATGTCCACCCCCACTCATGGGATCCAGATCTTTGCTGCTCCCGATGTACTTCCCCCAGCACCCTGAAACTGAAAACCAACCAACTGAAACCAAAAGGGGACATATTCATACAGGAAACCCGGTCAGTAAGCCCAAGCCAAGCGCCTGAAGCTGCCATTCAACCCCTGCTACTTTGCTTGCTGGTGGGGTAGTTCAAAAGTTTCATTCCGCTTAAACATCAGCCCCACCAAAAGAAAATTCCTACTTTGACCTTGCAACAAATACAACGTTGAAGCTATTGGCTGGTCGTAACCCCTTTTCATGGCTGCAAGGAGCCCCGGGCCATTGACATGGCCACGCCTCGTCTTTCAGCTTCTTCCTGTAGTAGGCGAAGGCATCCGCCTTCCAGTCCTCAGATAGCTCAAAAATGATACCCCCCCCAAAAAAAAAATGCACCTTGGTAAATGGAGTCAGGGACTCAGCGCTTCGCCCATCCCTCTATGGGTCTGTTTGTTGGGGCCGTGTTGCTTTTCTGGTTTCAAAGCGACGCCCTGGGTTCACCCGCCGCCCCACTGGGCCCCCAGCCCCAGGCTTGAGGCCCCGCAGCGCGCGCTTGGCCTCCGCAAGGCCCTGGCAGTTCTCCCGCACCACCTGCCTCGAGAAGCCGAAGCGCCGAAGTGCCGAAATCTGGTGGAGTCTGACGCCATTAAATGGCGGTGGGTCAAACAAATGTACCCAAAATGGAACCCTGGTAAATGGCAACTGTGGGGTGGTTTGGCTGTTTGGGATTTCACCCAGTTTTGGAGAAACTTACATGGGAAGGTAGCCCATTTAAGTTCCAACCGAACCACCCATGCTCGCGCCGCCCGGCCAACTACAACTTGCGGTCCTTTTCCGGCTGGTTTCATCTTGACCCACACCCAAATGCCGCGAGGGCACGTCGACGAACCAGATTCTCGTTACCCATGGGCGTCCCTTGCTCACTACACAAAATATGGGTTCAAACATCTAGGTCCTCCAGTAGAGAGGTTAGAATAAGTTGGTACCCACTTTTTTTCTGTAGTCTATTTTGGTAGGGGAACCCGGAACCCTCCCCCAAGAAAGGGTGAAAGGGCACTACTGGGGGACCTAGTTATGTTAGGCAACCCGAAACACAAACGCCAAAACAGAGAGAGAGAGAGGGAGAGAGAGAGAGAGAGAGAATGGTTGTGAGAAAACCAAACTTCGATACCAAAGTGATCGATTCCAATGACTACTTTGAGGAGATGCTGGGAGCTGTTGTTTTCTTCTTCTTTTTTAGTATGGAAAAGGACACACCCAGACCAGGAGCCATGTCCGAGTTGCATGTTGCAGTCGACGGGCTGGATCTGCCTGGCCGGTTGGAGTTTTGGCCCACCTTGTCATAGTAAAAGGAGTTCCCTGCAAGTTCCCTGGTTTGTCAACCCCTTACTAAGAAGAGAAGCAGTTCCCATAGCAAAATAGCGCCAGTTTTTTTAATCTTCGGGCAAGTCAACCCCTTACCAAAGAGAGAAGCAGCTACCATGGCAAAAAGCGCCCTCGATTGAAAACCGTATGCCTAAACAATAAGGCATGTTAAATGGCAGGCGTTTGTCTCCAGAACTTTCCGGCTGTTGGTGGCTAATGTGACGGGACTGAACAATTGTACACATTACTATCCTATGAACATGTCATTTGGTTTGCAAGCAGAGGCCCGGACAGTGCCCGCTCCGCTCAACTAAAATGGATCTTCGACGGCCAGCTAAGCGGCGAGACTAACCTGGGTTACCGACAAACAAACACCACCCAAGTGGAAAACACCTGCAAGCGAGTTTAACTCATGGGTTACAAGCACTTACTACCCTCCTTAGGACTTTTGCTCTACAAATTATAGCGCCTGTTGCTGGGTGCCATGTTAAACTTGGAACCCAGCAAAAGGCGCTTCGTAGAGCAAAAAGTCCTAGGGGCCTGCAGTCAGGTTCCATGTCAACGCGAGGACAATAGCAGGAAACGTTTCGTGTTGATTGAAGGTCGCACCAAAGCGAGCCGGGGTAGACCTCAGTAGCCCTGACCCGAACAGCTCTTGCTGGCTGACATCGTGGTGACATGCAATTAGAAGGTTACCGGGGGATTCATCATGATTCATCATTCAAAGGCTAAACAGCGCATGACTGGTTGCCGACGCTGGCAACTAACTTCTAAGTTGCAAGGACCCGATTGGATTTCCTCTAGCAATGGTGGACGAATGTGTTTTGTGAGGGGGTTGTGGGGCGCGCCCAAAGGGGCTGACACCTCTCTGGGTGTCAAATCGAGGGCCTGGACTGGAAAACACATGCAATTCCCCGTGCCTGGAACCCGGCACGCCTCTTCCACAAACAACCCCTCTTGGGTGGATGGATGCTCGCAAGCCTAGGGTGTGAAATGAAGCGAGAAGTCCTCTTGCCGTATACCCCCAGAAATAATCACACGCAGTCCTGCCATTCAAGAATCCTATCATGTTGCCCATGACCATGACTCTGTCAAGGTAGCCTCCATTCGTCCAGGGCAACCCCCCTTTTCGTGAGACAGCCACCCCATCCGCCCATCCGCCCCCCCGCGGCCCGCGGCCCCCAGCCACCGTTTTCGCGCGCCTGGCCCAGCCTTTGGGCGCCAGCTCCAGGTCATCTTCCGACGCAAAGGGCGCCAGGCTCCTCGCAGGCAAGGCGGCCGAAAGGCCAAGGCCTTTGGGGATGCCCGAGGAATCCCCGCAACCCGTTTCGGAAGAGGGGAGGCGCAGCTGGAGAAACAGGGAATCCGTTTTGCGTTCCTGTCTTGGTTGACCTGATGGTTTTTCAACGCCAAAAGCTCCCCGATGCCCACGCATGGTCAGAGGCCATGCACCAAGGTCCCAAGGTTAGAGACCTTCGAAAGATCTCTCGCCAGTCAGTTTTTATGCAGAAAAGGCGCTACCTCATTTGCCCCTTAGACCCAGAACTAGTTGATCACTTGAGCCCAAAAGGTCAGAGGCGTGTTTTTTTTTTCTCCCCCGGTTGTTGTTGTTTTTTCTTCCTGGGGCTTGCCTTCGGCCCCTTCCAGAGAATCCGAGAATCCGAAGGACGTTCAACGAACACAGCGGGTCAAATATGGACAAATCTTAAGACCTGATCTCGCCCGCACAGGCCGCAAATCCAGGAGTTTGCAAAAACCTGAAAACAAAAACTCATTCCAAAAAGCTCAATCCGTCTGGTCATAAGACAGATCAAAGGACTCACCCACCTGGGCGCCTCAGATCCCCTGCGTGAACCCACCTAAACCCACGAAAAAGCTAAGAACAACCCAGAGGATGGCTGGGAACACCTGGGAACCAAGCAACCACACACTTTCGAGCGGTTGCGCAAGTATCAGGGTTTCTTAAAGGATACTTCCAAAACCCGCCAGCTTTACAAGGATTTGGATCAGCTGGAATCAGCTGGAATCAGCTGGAATCAGCTGGTCGGGTGACTCTTGGACTGGCAGGCGGCGATTCCAGCTTTGGCCGGTCCCGAGCCCACGAAGGACTGGAATTGCAAACTTATAGTGACCTTTGGGTGTGGCTCAAAAAACCGGTACCAAAATGGAACCCTGGTAAATGGAAACAAACACTTAAATCTGCGGTTCCCTGGTGCTTTAATTTTGACCCATACACATTGTCTGCTGGAATTGCGGACCCCCCAACCCAAAAGGCAGGCATGAATTTGCCGAGTTTGGTCCCCCGCGTCCCTAAACTCGGCGATGTTTGCCCAACCTCTGGCTGTGAGAAAACATGGGACCCTTTAAACAGGAGTTGCTCCATGGGCAGGGTGATCCTCTAATTATATCAGCTGGTTTGGGTGACTTTTGGACTACCAGCTACGGGACCCTGGAGGGTTTTGAACAGAAAGCCACCCAAGCCACCCACCTGACGAAATCGACATCCCAGAGCTGCCCGTCTCACCCTGGATTTCTCTCTCGGGCCTGGAGGGCGAGCTCGTTGCCGAGATCCTGCGAGAGGCAGGTGGCTTCGCCCCACTGAGAGCGGGATTCACACAGAGCAACCTCTTTGGTCATTGCTATTCAGAGGGCCAGAACAAGTCTGATTATTGTTCCCCACCAAAGCAACCAAAAAGTGGCTGAAGTCCGAAACAAAGCTCACGAATTGAGTGAGTCGAACGGGACCAGTTGCCGCCCTCGCCGGATCCGTGGAAACCAAGGTGTCCCCAAACGTTGGGTGGGCCCCGGTCAGGTGCCAAGAAAAAAACAACACTCTCTAGGGGTTGATTCCTTTTCCATTCTTTTCAACCATCCTTCTTTTCAAACAGCCAGAAGGCACCCCTAGAAACTTGGGCTCCGGTCTGATGCCGTGAAGGCTTGGTGGCAGATACCCAGTGACTCCCAGGAACACGTTCCTTGAGTCGCAGTAGTGACATTCGCATGTGTTTAGTTCCTTGGTTCCTTGGTTATCCTCGTTTATAATGAAGCCCATGCCAGCGCAAATAAATCCAATTGCTGGCCAAGCCTGACCTCCAAAACCTCGGTCGACCCGGACACACTTGCCCCTCTACATGAAGGGCGGGGATTCTCCAAACCGCCTTTAAAGTTGTTTTTTGGTGATGTATGCGTAAGGGGCTCACACAACCCCAGGTTTCCGTTGAACATGTTTCCGCTGCTTTACAATTTGAACACCTTGGTATGGTAGCAAAACACTCTTTTTTGGCTGCCCCCGCTTATGCACGAAGAGAAACAAAAAACCTGGAACCTAAAGACATGCCAACCACCGCTAAAAAAGGCCCATGCTTCAACCCCAAAGCCTTACCTGAGAACCCCATACCTCACTGCCACCTCCAACCCATAAGTTTTCCCTCAGTATACTTATGCGGGAATCCGGGGCGGGGGGAGCTTCAGTTTGGTTCTACTGATGAACCAGCACCATGTAGTTTTTGTCCAACATGACACCTAGGGTTCAACAGGCCGGTATGTCACCAGGCAATGGTTTGCGTGTTTTTGGCTCATAGCCATGAAAGCAACATCGTCGAAACTACCCTCCAAGTTGTGACACTTTAACTAGGTCCTCCAGTAGAGAGGTTAGAATAAGGGTACCCTTTTTTCTGTAGTCTATTCTAGTCGGGGAACCGGGCATCAAAAATGCAAAACATCGTCCCCAAATGCAAAAAAAAACCGGGCGCCGAGGACCCGTCCAGCTGGGCGCTTGTGACCAGGTGGACATATCTGAGAGCACGCTGGGCTTCCACTCATCAAAGCCTCGCAGGGTCACTGGAAACTTTGCAACTTGCTGATAGTGTCAGGTCGGTTTGAGGTTTGAGGTTGGGCGCGGCTTGGCTCAAGGTTGGTTTAGGGTCACTTCGAGGTTGGTCAGGGGTGGGTTTAGGGTTTAAATTCCCCCCTACTTTGAAGGGGTTGGGGGGGTGTAAGTTTTCCCCAAAAGAAAATGACTCGCTCTCCACCAAGTGCATGTGTAAGGGGGTGGGGATCCCCCTTAAGACTGCCACTTTTGGAGGGATATTCTCTGGAAACCCTGAACACTGTTCAAGGTTTCCGAGATCTGAGGCCCTGTCTCTCCAAATCGGGGATCCTAGTCCCTGGGCCACTGGGTCGCTGGCTTCCCTCCAAAAACTTTTCTTTTTTGCCCGGTGAGTGAGAAACAAAGGGAACCCCAAAAAGGCAGAAAAGCAAGAAGGCAAAAAGGGGAGCTAATTCTGGGGAAGGAAAGAGGGCCTTACAAGCTTCTACCGCAGTACGTGGCGATGAAACAAAACAGCCCGTTTCGCTGGGCTGGTGCTCCTTGAAATACACCCCACTCTCAAACCTGGTCTGCAAGAAGTGATGTATATGAGTATATCCTCCTTTTACGAATCGGAACCCCTCCCCCCAAAAAAACAATGGCTTCGGTGTTCCTGAAAACATCCGCCTCAACAACAAAAGCATAACCATATCTTAGTCTCCTAGACCTCCCAGGACAACTGCATCTACCAATTCACATTACATGGGTCAAACTGATGTCGAAAACATCTAAGAACCAGTGAATAGAAGGACCAGCAGCTCTAGTAGCAAAGGAATTGGACCCTTTTGGTTGATTGCATCTGAGCGGAGCCCCAACCCGCCAAACCAAGATGCGAGAGAGAAGGCGGCTCCTCTAAACACATGGTGGTTTAGTATGGGTTCAATGGGGGATCTGCAGGGGGAGCAGTTCTGGAAACAGCGAATCCACCCCTGGAAATGCATGGATAAGCAGGAAAAGAGGACCAACAAAGGGACCGACTGACAGATGTGGAACCCACCAAACACACACACACAGCCAACCTGTTTGGTAGATACATATTGCACCAAACCCCTGATGAAGGCCACCTACCTGACTAAGCCAAAAGAAAACTGACTAGGTCACAAAACCCTGAAGAAGTAGATTCCAAGTAAGAACTGCACAATAGGTGTCATGCTGTGAACATGGATTCACATTGCCTTTAGTATTCCCCAAAGCTTCTTCTTGGCCGCAGCCCGCGCAACTTGAACAGAGAAGTTCAACTGTGCGCCGTC